TGTGGGGCCTGAACTCGGGGCCTGGTGTTGTCCCTCAGCTCTTCAGCTCAAGGCTAGCACTCTACCACTTGAGCCACAGCGCCACTTCTGGCTTTTTCTGCTTATGTGGTGCTAAGGAATTGAACCCAGGGCCTCATGCATGCAAGGCAAGCACTCTACTGGGGAGCCATCTTCCCAGCCCCCTGGATTGGCTTTGAACCTTGATCCTCAGATCTCAGCCTCCTGAGTAGGAACATGAGTAAGTAGCAGGAAAATTTCTTAGGAAAAGAATACATATCCCATAGAATGAAATCTGTCCTGTAAGAATGGCAATTATTTTTACTCAGATATAAGTTTTTGTTGAAGTAAAAAGGGCTTTGAGCATTAAGTCCCTTCCCAAGACCAGCTTATGGGGCAATCTCTGTCTCAAGCTTGGGGAAGGTTTACTGAGTTCCAATAGACTTACTTCTAGGGCATGGATTACTGACTTGGGTAGGTAAGGTAAAGGTCTGCAGTTTTAGACATTGCTTGGCACGCTTTAGTCTGGAATGAAGTCTATATTAATACCTAGGAGAGTAGAGTCCTCAAAAAACAACAAACCCACCATATGATACTCTGTGACCCTGGTGGGCTATCTAGTTTAGATAAAAACTTATAGTGTTCTCTTCACAGACCTTCTAAGCCCATCCTGATTTAGGTTTCCTTTATGTTTTCCCAGGACTCATGGCTGCTATGTATCAGTTCCATTCTTGACATTTCTTAAAACTTCATCTAGGCTTTTAATCTCTTTTGGGAGCTGAGGAGGTAATGGTGTTTGAATTCAGGACTTTAATTTTGCTAGGCTGATTCTGTACTCCTTGAGGCGAGGACACCAGCTCTGCTTTTCACTGTTTTGTTTTGTTTTTGTGCTAGTACTGAGACTTGAATTCAGGGCCTGAGTGCTGTCCCTGTGCTTAAGTCTAGCACTCTGCCACTTGAACCATAGCCACAGGTCTACTTCTTCCTTTTTTGGTAGTTAATTGGAAGAAAGAGTTTCATGGGCTTTTCCTGCTCAGTCTGGCTTTGAACTGAGATCCTTAGATCTCACCCTTCTAAACTAGGGATTAGCTGGGCGCTGGTGGCTTGTGACTGTAATCCTAGCTACTCAGGAGGCTGAGATCTGAGGATCACGGTTCAAAGGCATCCTGGGCAGGAAAGTCCGTGAGATTCTAATGACCAATTAACCACCAGAAAGCCAGAAGTGGCACTGTAGCTCAAGAGGTAGAGAGCTAGCCTTGAGCTGAATAGCTGAGGGACAGCACCCAGGCCCAGAGATCACCCCTCATGTCCGACAAAAAAAAAAAAAAAGCCAATAATACATTCCTTAAGTATTTTCATTTTGTGGGCATGTGCTAGTTCTGGGGCTTGAACTCAGGATTTGGGTGCCAACCCTGAGCTTTTATTTTTTGCTTAAGCTAGTGCTCCATCAAATAAGCCACAGTTGAACTTTAGTGGCTGATTGGAGACAAGACTTTCCTACCTAGGCTGCTTTGTACCATAATCCTCAGATCTCAGCCTTCTGAGTAGCTGGAATTACAAGTGTGAACCACTAGTGTCTAACATAAGTATATTCTTAATAGTGGTTTTTGTTGTTGTTGTTGTTTTGGTCATGGAGCTTGAACCCTGGGCCTAGGCACTATCCCTGAGTTCTTCAGCTCAAGGCTAGCACTCTACCACTTGAGACACCACTTGGTGGGTAATTGGAGATGAGTCCCATGGACTTTCCTGCCTTGGCTGGCTTTGAACTGGGATCCTCAGCTCTGAGTTTTCTGAGTAGCTAGGATTACAGACATGAGCCATCTGCATCCAGTTACATCATTTGACTTTTTCTGGGGGGGAGGGTCTGTCATGGGGGCTGAACTCTGGGCCTGGGTGCTGTCCCTCTGTCTTCAGCTCAAGGCTAGTGCCCTACCACTTGAGCCACAGCACCACCTCTGGCTTTTTTCTACTTATGTAGTGCTGAGGAATTGAATCCAGGGCCTCATGCATGGGAGGCAAGCACTCTACCACTGAGCCACCTTCCCAGCCCATCATTTGACATTTTAAAAGTTGATGGGTCTGGGTGCCTCTAATCATATAATACATGTTGAAATAAACTCCAGGAAAGAAAGAGAAGCAGAAGGAGAGTCATGGTTAAAAAAAAGTACTCATTACTCATTACCCGATTCATGCGACTACACTCCTCTGTATATGAACTCTACAAGAATTAAAAAAAATAAATTTCAGGATATGGAAATGAGTGTTTTTCCCCGTTGTTATTTTTTTGTGTTATCTGTCTTTGGAAAGGTAAGATGGAGCACAGAAATGGAGGGACACAGGGTGAGCCAATGCACCAATGGTACTCACTAGACACTACATGGAAAATGAACTATACAACTTATGGGTGGATGGAAGGGAAAAACTGGGAGAGAGCAAGGGAAGGGGTGACATTGTACAAAAAGAAACGTAGTTTACCTGGCTTACATAATCCCTCTGTGCATCACCTTAATAAAAAATTATATACATATTACATATCAAAATTAGATACTGAGAACAGTATGCAGGCATGTATAACCAAAACAGTTTCTTGTACATGTTACAATTTTTTCTCCATTTCATTATCAGTTTTTCAATTTCATAATGGCTTTGGTCATATGAAATGCACAAAGTTGTTTTGATCAGACTATTTTTTCCTGTGTGTCCCGGGTTGACATCATGCTTAGAAATAGCATGCATTCTCTCCTAGTATGTTACTTGTATGGGTGCAACGTGATGTGGAGGAATGCATGTTATAAACGTTGTTCCTGGTACTGCTGAATAGAGCGGCCAACTTCCACATTAAAGACCAGTTTCCCTACCTGCAAAATAACTCAGAGATTGAAAAACGAAACGAGTGTCATTTACTGCTCGTTGTGCCCGGCGGGGCATCTGTTCATTCCCCAAAGCGGGCGCCCGCGCGTCAGGACTAACGTGCACGCGAGAGCCGTCGGCCCGGCTTTCCGAGCACTGCGCGGCACTGCACACCCAGCAGGCGTCGGGCAAGAGGATCGGGTTTGCCGAGGAATCCGAGGGCCAGCTATTTTCCGTTTCTCCGCTCGTCGCCTCCCGTCCTCCCCGGTAAACACCGGCTGCTTTCCTCTTCCCGGGAATGCCGGCTCCCGAGGTTTCAAAGAGTGTCCAGCGATGCCGGTGAAGAGAGACGGAATCTGCCACGTTTATTTAGTTTCCACGGCAACAATAAAGTCTTCGGGTGGCGGGAGTAAGTCTCCCCGGGCAGAAGAAACGAGAAGGGTGGTCCCTGGAACGAGACCCGAGCAGCCGGGCAGCCTCGGGGAGCCAGGGCTCGGGCCCCGGCGCGTCAGCGTCCGCCGCCCACCGGCCGTCCTCCCCGGGGCCGAGGCTTGACACGTTCCCGATTTGCACACATTGCTGGCTTGACGGCACCCGGGCGCCCAATGGCGCCGGACCCAAGTCCGGTCGGCGCTCCGCCCGCGCGGGGCTGTGCACACGCGCCGTGCGCGGGTCCCCGATTCACCAGGACCCGGAGCTGCGGACGGCGAGCGGCGCGCGCCGCGGCTGTTCAAGAGCTCCGCGCCGGGGAGGACGCAGCGGCACGCGCCGCACCCGCGACGGCCGCCCGCGCCGCGCTCCGGAGGCCCCCACCAGCCCCGGCTCGGAGTGGAATCCGGCAGGGGAGGGGCGGGAGGAGGGGCTCCTCTGAGAGCGGCGGGGAATTCCCCCTTCCACCGAACGTTCCCGATTGTTCACTAGCTTCACGTCAGCAGCAGGGGGTAATCCCCGACTCCAGCTGCTCCTGACGTCACCACGTGGAGCCACCGCCCCCCGCGCGTCCTTGCCTCCAGAGCTTCCTAGAAGCCCCGCCTCCAGACGTAGCCACGCCCCTTTCCCCGTCCCCCGCCGCCGACGTAGAAGGCGGAGCTTCTCTGACCGGGGCGTGAGCAGTTGCTTGGGCCAGAAGGTTCTCCGGTGGAGGCGCTCCTCCTGCTGCCCCGCCCAGTAGGTTCGTTCTCACTGTTTCTTCCACACCCTTTCTCCCTCCTCGGTCTCCTCGCCCCGCCTTCCCTCCTTTTCTCAACCCCTCTAGTTTCTTCCCCGCCTCACCACTTTCCACGATCTCGCGAGACTTGGCCCAGAACATTGCGGATCGGGTCGGCGCCATTTTGGGACTGAGACTGGTTGTGGGGGAGGGAAAAGCGGCAAAAGGGGATTATTCAAAGTACCGAAAACCTCCTCCCGGGATCGCGCGCAACGGCACCCCCAGGCCAGGGGCACCTCTGGTGGGGCGGAAGGTAACGACGGCCTCCGCGCTCCTCGCCGGAGTCCGGGAGCGGGCGGCGGGGGGGGGCGCCCGTGTCGGCG